TATATATATATATATATATATATGTATATGTATAACACCACAGCATACATGCATGCACACATATATCTATACTCCTGCTCTGGCAGCTGCTGCACCGTGTGCTGCAGCAGTAGCAACTGCTTTTGCTGCTGCTGCTGATGATGATGCAGCAGGAACGGGTGCTGCTGCTGCACCTCGTGCTGCAGCAACAGCAACTGCTGCTGCAGCAGAAACAACTCGCTACAGAAAATCTTGACGCTTGTTGCTGCCACAGGCTTCGTTTGTTTGGGCGGCGGATGTTCATTCGAATGTCTTTTCAAACCCTAAACCCTAAACCCTAAACCCTAAGAGGCAGCTTGAGCTGCGTTTATCTTTCTCTGTCTCCTTTCTTTTGTATCTAAGAGACAGTTTGCTGCTGCTGAGGAGACACTTTAAATAAGCACTTCAGTTGCACTGTTCAAACAAAAAACAGGGTTTAGTGCTGCTGCAATCACTTCAGCTTAGCAGCAGCACCTGCAGCACCAGCTCGTCGAGGCCCTGCTGCTGTCTGGGGACGGCTTGCTGCTGCTGCTGCTGCTGCTGCTGCCTGCCCCTTCTTTGATGCAGACTTGCGGGAAGCAGCAGATCCTTTTTTACCCCGACGGTTCTTTCCTTTCTGCAGCAGTAGCAGCAGCAGCAGTGGCAGCAGCAGCAGCAGCAGCAGCAGCTGTTGCTGCAATCGTAGATTTTAGTTACTAAGAAGAGGAGCTCCACCACTGAACAACGAACTGCTGCTGCATCTCGATCCACTTGCAGCGCAGCAGCAGCAAAAGCAGCACATGCAGCAGCAGCAGCAGCAGTAGCAGCAGCAGCAGCAGCAGCAAGAGCAGCACTTGCTTGCTGGATGATACCTTGATTGTAGTTGGCGTAGAGGCAGTGGGGCCCCCTTGTGCAGCAACAGCAGCAGCATAGAACATGCCGGTGTTTGCTGCTGCAGCACGCAGCAGCAGCGAAGAGAAGTCTCTGTGATGTCGCTGCAGCTGCAGCGGGGGGCCCTGGGCTTCAATTATCTGCTGCTCAACAGTGCAGCAAGCAGCAAGCTGCTGCACTTCTCGGTTGAGTCGAAGACACCCGGCAGGAGACACCTGGAAGGAGACACCACAGCAAAAACAGCAGCAGCAGCAGCAGCAGCAGCAGCAGCAGCAGCAGCAGAGGAGAAACCTTATAGCGAGGTCGAAGGTAAAGGCAACAGAGAAGAGGAGACAGAAACAAAGAAGCAGATATTAATGAAGACAAACGGAGACATAATAAAAGTACAAACAAACGACAAAGCAGAGACAGACAGAGGCTGAGACTGACAGAGACACAGAAGGCTAGCTAGCTAGCTAGCCACATAGCTAGCTAGCCACCTAGCTAGCTAGCTAGCTAGCTAGCTAGCTGCCGAACACGCAGACAGAAGCAGACAAAGAAGGAGACACACGAAGAGAGACATGAAGAGAGACACAAGGGAAGTGAGACAAAGACAGAGACAGAGACAGAGACAGAGACAGAGATAGAGATAGAGACAGAGACAGAGACAGAGACAGAGACAGAGACTATATATATATATATATATAGAGAGAGAGAGAGAGAGAGATAGAGATAGAGATAGAGATAGAGATAGAGATAGAGATAGAGACAGAGATAGAGACGGAGATAGAGACAGAGAAAGAGACAAAGACAGAGACAGAGACAGAGATACAAAAGGAGAGAGACAGAGACACAATTGAGCAGAGACAGCAGCAGAGGCAGTTGTTTGCTGCAGACAGACAGCAGATAATCCAGCAGCAATCCAGAGAGACTGCAGCGAGCAGAAAGAGTTTGCTGCTGTCTCCTCAGACACCGCCATTGCCTTGTGTGTCTCCTCCAAAGGCTTAAACCCTGCGCTGCAGCAGCAGCAAATGCAGCAGCAAATGCAGCAGCAAATGCAGCAGCAAATGCAGCAAGTGCAACAATATATGCAGCAACAAAAGTAGCTAGAGGCAACAGAAGCAGCTGCAGAAGCAGGTTGCTGTCTCCTCCTCTGTCTCCTTTTGTCTGTCTCTTCGTCTCTTTTTGTGTCTTCTCTAGACCCAACTCTACGCCCTTAAGGGCCTGAGCTCTTTATACACTAGAATTTAGGGTTTAGGGTTTAGGGTTTACGGCTTAGGGTTTGGGGTTTACGGCTTAGGGTTTAGGGTTTACGGCTTAGGGTTTAGGGTTTAGGGTTTAGGGTTTAGGGTTTAGGGTTTAGGGTTTACGGCTGAGGGTTTAGGGTTTAGGGTTTAGGGTTTAGGGTTTAGGGTTAGGTACCTGAAGTCAGCTTGGCATGCGTCCAGCAAGACATCATAGAAGTCTTCTTCTTCTATGTACACTGCAAACACCTAAACCCTAAACCCTAAACCCTAAACCCTAACCCTAAACCCTTGTCATTCGTGTGTTGAAGACCTTCTCAGGCTTTTCTTAGCTCAGAGCTTACTTGCAACATTAGGGTTTAGGGTTTAGGGTTTAGGGTTTAGGGTTT